TCTCTCGGGTTCTCCACACTTGTCAGGGGGAACTCGTCTCGTCTCTCTATCTCGTCCCCTTGAGGTACGGGATCGGGAAAGTCACTTTAACTTTACAGTCAAATAAGACACACACAACGAAATACGGTTCAACTCTCGTCTTAGTCGGTCAATCGAGCACTCTATAAGACACGGCGCCCTGGGGAAAAGTCCCCAAGACTCTCGCAAGGCTGACCCAAGACTCGCCCAAGACTGGACTGCGTCAAGGCTCGCCCCAAGACTCTCTCGGACTGGACTCGACTGCCCAAGGCTGCGTCTGTCGTGGAGTATTCGCCAAGACCAACTCAAACTCTCTTTATTCATTTTCAAAACTCTAACCAATTACAAAACAGTAAAAAGACTCTAGGGCGTAACCTTCAATCATAAAGCCAATCACACTAAGTACTGAATACGTCATATCTTTTGATTAATCGTTCACTACATTAATAACTACGGATGTCAGAATAGCGACGGTATCTTGTAATTAGTTCCAAATCACTGCGCCAAGTTCCGTCCAAAACTTCAAATAGACCTAAACGATGACAGACATAACACAGCAATTCGCTAATAATCAGTTAATTAAGTCGACCAACAGATACGCGAAAACAAATTCATGACACATCCCTTCACCCAAACTGAGATATGCCTCTTGGCATAACACGTTCATAAATCAAAGATACCGTCAGCCACTCATCGTCATAGGGTTAAATACAATACTAATAAAAGGAATAAATCAAAAAAAGTAAAACACACTAATTAAGTACAATGATTATAAAGTCTAAATACAATGGATATAAAGTCACAAATATCAACGGTTATGAATCAAAAAAAGGGAAAGGCTACCAAACGACTCACTTTTCTCAAACAGGTCGCCGAGGGAAACCCTTCGCTGCACTGTCTCCGTTACTAAAGTTACAAACTCTATATCAAAAGGTCAAAAAAACTAAGGCGTGGCGGTGTAACCAAGCGATCAGCCAATCGCTGCAGTCGACAGCATGATCACGTGATTATCAGGATGCGTCTCTCGGTTAAAGCATTGCAAGCGGTAACTAATAACATGATAACAGCTATTATCAACTCTGTCATATACGCTTATAAACTTC